CTAGTTATTTTCCCGTCAAAAAGAAGCCGTGGCGTGAGCGAACGACACTTGGGCTGAAGCTTGACAAACTGAGCATCTGAGGGATTTCGAACCTCAAATACGTCTTGACTTGCAATACATACATATATATATATATATATATATATATATATATATATATATATATATATATATATGTATATATATATATGTGCATAGATGTATTGCACAGCTACAACTACATTATATATCGGCATATATCTCAATATATATAAGATTATTCGAAACATATTAGATATATTGGCTAGACATGTCTTAGACAGACATGGTCTGCAACAAGCGCCAAGGTCATGCTGTCCGTGACGCGACCAGCAGCCTGGCAGAAAACCTGGTGTCACAGGTCGCCAAAGCGGTTTGGGGCAAACGGGTCAATTACCACCAGAGGCGGAGCTGTCAAAGTCGGTGCGCCGCCGCTGCACTGGTGTATCGAAAAAGGTCAAAATATGCAGATGGACGCTTGTTGACGTAGATACCAGAAAAGTCCGTCCAAAATTATCAAAAGTGTACCTAATGCCCTCGCCAGGCAGGAATGACTGGCAATACAGACCCTGCGAAAAGGTCTGGTCGCTACGGTCGTGGTTGCTTTGCTGGGGCGGACAAGAGCCACGGCCAGGCTTGCCATACTGCAGACCTGGAAACGCACAATTCAAAGTCGTGAACGCAAAACTAGGAATTTTTGGGGCAGTCTCGGAAAAATCGCTGCGTGGTGCTCAAAGGTCACGTAAGAGACGCGGGATAATCAGAAAACATGGTTTCAGAAACGGTGGATTACAGCTGCTATAGCTATTATGAGATGGCAAACATGCATGATGCCACATCATGCGAGAACGTTGTAAGCCGTCTACAACATAACATCAGCAGAGAGATGCCCACTCCAGCGCTACAATGTCGTGTCATTAACTAAGAATGAGACCAACAACAGTATCACAAGGCACAGCATGAAACAGACGAGGCTTGCTGACCTGATTATTCTCCAAAGTCGCCCATATCTGGCCGCCACCCCGATGCTATGGTGAGCGAAGACGCAGTCGCACTGGTGAAATGCTCTAGCGCTTTTCTCGCGGTAATGATACAACATTTAGCGATACGAAATAGGTAATGAAATGAAATTGCATGTGGTGATAAGGGTGGAAAGGCAACTCAATGTCCTGCACAAATTTGGTTAAAATCCGCTGCCTGTGTTCGGAGTTTTCAACTTTGTATGCCTTCGACTGGCTTTGCGTGAGCGACGCACCCTTATGTGAGAACGTGACTTCAGTATGTTTTCTGGCTGCTCGGTGTCATCACCTACCTCAACTCAGCCTATTTTCATCACACTTCGGTGCGACAAAAATAGTCACACACCAGTGACATTTTAAAGTAATTTTGGAATATGGCAACTTTACATGGCGCTCCGTGCTGAAATCGGCTTCAATTGCCAACCTCGCCGACCAGCCAGTCAGGCTGCAAGTCAGGTTTCACGGGTTGGGTTGTATTTTACGTTGTTGCAAGGTAAAATTTAATGCCGACTCTCATTTAAACTTAACGCACATACATGCAGACTGAAAAATATTTTCAGGCCACCGGGCCCTTGCCTGTCGCCATGTCAAATGCCACCGACAGTGTGTCCAACCTACTGCTACCAGGCGCTCTCCATTCAAAGGTCATCCATTAAAAACATTTTTCACATTTGAAGATACTGGGGCAAGCATCAGATATGATGCAACAAGCTCACTTATAACTAGAGGTATGCATTTTGGGTGGAAAAGGTTGCTCTAGACAGCACAATTCTCTGTTTAGTAAATATGCTTCTCAATGCGTCATGGTTTGATTACCTCATCACACCTTGCACAACATTGATTGGGGGCCAGTTGACGGATGTTATATCTGAAACCGCGCTCACGAACGCCAGATATGGACGCCTCGATACATATATTTTGTTGTCTTGATCGCCGCATGGCTTATGGAATGGCAGGATTTGATTCACGTTATTATGACGTTATGGATGCCAAAGCGGCTTTGAAATAATCTCCCCGATATTCCTTTTCCCATTCTAGCGGGCGTGTAGCTCAGAAATTAGAGGTGCTTAGGTCCTGAAAAGGGCAGGATTGAGAACAGCACCGTAGGGTTTTCAATGTGGCTATTTCAGTTCAAAACTCCATATAACTATGGAACACTCCCGTTAATCCGCAAGGGAGGACATGCCTGGGAGGCGCTCTTATTCTACGCGATTAGGCAACCATATTAGGTTGTAATTTGTAGAAAGAGGAAATTGGGAATATCGTGCGAAAAGTGGCTGCCTGTCGTGGCGCGTAACAACGTAAATTGGAAGATTTGTGAAATGAACATTTCTGATAAAGTTTTGCGTTGGAAGCAACACGTTTGTGTTATATCAGAAAGATCATTTGAAACTTTACAGAGTCTTCTGAAATACCTTCTTATAACGTCACGGGACGTCCAAGAAACCCAAAATCTCGATCTAGTCAAAAATGACTCAGTCCGAATCAGCTCATCACTGCTTCGCAAACCACAATGCCTTGCAACCGGTTCGGGCCTCAAGATATTTGTCATCGGTACAAGGAGCACGCATCTTGCATCGAGTCTCGTCATGATATTTGAATCCTGCTGGAGCCTAGAGCTCACGGGCTGCACCGCGGCATCACAGAAGGCTTAGGAATGACACGTTTCACATCCAATACGCTACTTTGGACCACGGTCTATTTCCCATAATGGGCCATAATAGGCCTGAATGGTGTGCGGAAGCGCTTCTGGGGGCGAAATGGACATTAATGACGCATTCTCCGGCGGAGTTTGCAGAATTGTTCAATTGGGCAGTAACCAGACATTTTGTTGCAATTAATGTCTGTTTGCATGCTCAGACTGCGGTCGTCTACGGATACAGACATTTTCTCGATCCCACAAGCATGAGACAACGGATGCAGAAATTCCAGATGCAGGTGTACATATGCAGCCTGTTGCCTGGTTCATGCAGTCAGCCAGGCCTCAGATTCGCTGAAGAGCTCGCCGAAAACTCGTCTTTGAGTTAAATGCGTGTAAGGTGGCGGCGTCCTACCTTGACAGCATGATAGCTTTTCCAGGCTTCCGTCCTTCACGCTGCAGAATTTCTGCGAAGTTTTAGCTTCGGCGTGGTCAGCGTGTGGGCGGGTGGAACCCCATCATGTACTGGCATTATGGCAGCACGGTAGGCTGTAGGGCTACTGTGTTAGCCGCCCAAAAAGAAGTGCAGAAGTGGCAAGATTTCTGCTGTGGTGCGGATTAACGCCTGAGGCAATGGGTATGGTGGCGGTCGGGCCCCGTTACTCTGGGTTAATACCCGTTAATGACTTGTCATCATTCCGAGCTGCTTAATCTTGTCTTCTGAACCATAACAAAGGTAAGACGAAGTATTCGTACTGTTTGCCATTCTTCCTAATGCGCCGAAAATAAAGTAGACGAAGTTCAGCGAGAAACTGAGTTTTCGAGATAGTTTGGACTTCTTTCCCAGCCACGGGCCTACTCAACGTCAGCCTAGTTCCCGCTGCTGGCGTATGCCTCTGCATCTTTTGGCTGACGATTCCAGTACTTCGTAAAACATATTTTGAGCAGGAGCTAGGTGTGCATGATACTAAGTACCATTTTCTTCAAAACACATCTCCAGTTATGTTCAATCCTCCCCTCATCGGGTGTATATTTTGAGCATTGGCTATCAGAGCCTTGTAGTCCCGACGTTTGTAACGCTTAACACCTGCATCTGCTGTGTAGGCTTTTGGGCCTAAAAAGTCGACGCACGCGTACATTACAAATACAACATAGTCAATTCGGATTGCTGCTTTCAGCTTTCCATCTGGTTAAAGTGCAATGTCTCATCGGTTTTTGGCCTTTGCTGGAAGTTCGGCAATCACCATTTTGCAGCTACAATTTTCAGATTTTTTTAGCAACGTGACGGAAAGACAAGACAGAAATCTCAACTCGGGTTCTGCAGCTGTCAGAGCAGTCAGGCCTATACCATTTTTAAATCATCACAGTTATTTCACGGCAGTTGAAACGCAGCTGCGTCTTTCCACGTGATTATGTTAACTTCAATGTATTTAATACGCATGGTATGAGTTTTCTTTCCCAGAGCACTCGCCACCTGCTCTTAATCAGATGATCTAGGGTCGAGCTTACAGCACCAAGAGACGCTGGAGCTGTAGCCACAGCGACCCGATCGGGCATCCAGGGCCAGTCTTTCAAGGAGGAATTACGATAGGTCAGCCCAACCAAAAGTCTACCCATCTATCCACACGCTTGCCTCCTGGCTAGATCCAAAGTTCGCGTCCTTAGGATGCAGAGACCCAACCTACCCTGGTTGTCAGCGAGCCTCTGATGTGGCTCCATGTGGGACGCACTGCCCTGACCTGGGCTGACCGGGCGGCGGCACGGCCGCTTCTCGGGCTGTGGGCAACGGCGGCGGTCGGCGCGGCTTCGGCGAAGCGCCGGCGCGGCGCCGCCGGTTATGCCGGTCCGACACGAGCTGTACCGGGAACCGCGCGGCGTCGAGCGCTCGACCACCTCCGACATCGCCGCCGCGCCGCCGCCGCCGCCGCCGCCGCGCGGCTGGTGACGCTGAGCTGGGTACCGGCCCGCGCGCGAGGCACTGGCCAGGGCTGCCCGTGGGTGGGGAGGCTCGATGTCAGCCTTGGAAAAGGGCTGTGCGTAGAGGATGTTACAATGGCGGTCCACGAGTTCCTGGTGGGGCGTGTTGTGTGCATCGCTGGTTACTGCCATACACCCGTGCATGGATGACATGATCATTGAACGGCACACGACAGCTTAGTGGAGCACAGCTGGAAGGACAGGGCGCTGAGAATGAATGCACTGCACGATACGGATCTTGACCACAGCTTGTCCAGTTACTTGTGCGTCGCGTTGAGCGTTGTAGGTTGTGCATCATTCCTTTTGGGGCTGTTCCTGTCGTTCTCTAACGAAAGATCTCCTTCCAGCTGTACGAGATAGACGACAACCCCAAGAGGAAGGAGTTCCTAGACGACCTGTTCCGGTTCATGCACAACAGAGGTCAGTCTTCAGCTGGCGGATTTGCTGCACATTCCAAATGCACAAACAGGCAACACTTTTATAGCGGTTATGGATACCGCTCCTGAATTTTACGTCACCATTCGTTTGCCGGCCTATTGATGATGACGTTGCAATTCCTGTGCGTAGCATAAATGAAGACGAACTAAGTACAACGTGCCGTAAAAATCAGGAAGTGTCCCAATTGAGTACGCAGTGTGTACACAAGCCATAAAGCTTTTCGGTAGACCCTATGTGTTTGTGCCGTATGTGCACTATGTGTATATGCCCGTATATGTCCCGTAAGGGCCCATCACGTACTCCTGTTTTGGGGACATAACAAGGCACGTTTCTATGAATTTGGCATGTAATGCCCTATGCCGTAAGCGCTGGAAAAGAAGAGGCATGCCAGCTCTCAGTTTCTACGGAGGTCTTGCAGCCACCGTGTGGTGGTGCGGGCGGGGTTGACTAAGAAATGGGCTCAATCCGGACTTCTCGGGACTTTCCTACGCCCCTGTGTATAGTCGTGTGAGCGAACTGTGTGGCCGACTATATCGACCGGTGTTGGGGCTGTGTGCGGGGATGGCGGACCGGCTCGCCCTATGCCCGACCAGTGTTGGGCCTGTGTTCGAACGGCGGCGGACCGGCTCGCCCCATCCGTCTTGCGAGGTGTGGCTCTGACTGGAGGCCATGCTGTGTGTCGATGGGTGGCCGGGACTACAGCGCCAATTTATGATAATGCTCCTATCAAGCGTGGGAAGTTTATGCCCATTCTACGGTAAATCAATCGGTGGTTTGGATGGTCTCCAGCCGCAGCTGAGTGATGAGCTCTGAATGTTTGTCAGATTTAGTCTGGGTGTTTGAAATGGACGGTGCTGGCACCGGGCTTGGATGGAAGCACGCTAAGCTTGCTGTTCTGAATCGGGTCATACCACCTATATGTCCCCCCCCCCCAACAGGGTGAAATGTGAAGAAAAGCACGGGCTCAGGTAAACAGCACGGAACAGCCGCAATGAAAAATGAACTATCATTAATATTCCAACACCGTGGATGGCCGCAAATCCACATGGTTTCATGGGTTCAGATGACCATCGGCGTCCGGAACTCACCTTACCTGAAGGCGTGGAAAGAGTGCTGTCATGGCTTACATACAAGACGGGTCATGGAGGTGATGGGCACGGAGTCGGTGCTCCGAACACTGGCATGAGAGCGTCGTCTCCTACGGGGGTCGCCAAACCTCAGAACGCCACGTAGCGCAGCCTGTAAGCCATCGCTCGGCGGGAGTGGGAGCCCACCCGACGGCGTCACCCGAGTCCGGGGTGCCAGCGGCCCGCGGCTCCGTCCGTTGCCTTTGTTCTCCCGAATGGCGTGGTATACTGCGTCGCGGAGCGTCGGGCGGTCGTCACGGCGCGCCGGGACGCCGAAACTGTCGCCCGGCCAGTGACGTATTCCACGGAATCCGGCGGAATGCCTGCCATTGTCACGCCTCCGGCCCGGGACTAGGCCTCGCAGTGGAAATTATCCCGCGCTCCTATCAGAACTATCAATCAGCCAGAACAATTCGCATCCCCAGTAAAGCTGTCTTCATAAACGATACGAAATTACCGGCTACGGGCGTCTTAGTGCTGCCGCATTTCTCCTGTGTCAAACCCCACCGTCTCTCCCGGCCGGACGCTTTGTGTGTAATTTCCGCGTGTTGGACCCATGGGACATTATGGGTTTACGAGAGGCACCCTAGAATGTCCAAGGTGCCCATTATCTCTCCAACATATTTATGTGATTGGATGCTACAATTTTATGCGATCTCCAAGGTCAACCGGGCCGTGTTTCTTCAATGGCGACAGCGGGCGCACACATCAAAGGTCATAGCTTTTGCCTTACAAAAGGGCGCACAGTAGTGAAAGTTAGCGACATTTGTACTAACGCAGTTGCGGCAAAACCAACAAGACAGTCTGAAGGTCTGGAAGTTTTTTAGGATGAAAACCACGTGGCTGACGGCTTGATGTGACTGTGTGCATTCCAAGGAGCGAGACGTCTTATAACACGATGATGACCGGATCTCGAGCCTGCAGCTAAAGACACACGCATGATCGCCAATCTGTATATATTCCCATTTAAATGTCGATTGACGTCAGTCCTGGCTAGGCATGCCGATCTTATCATATTATGATAAACAGTATGATCATTGCATACTGCATTTCTGCATGCATTAAATTACATTATGAGTCCTCTGATGGTGAATGTGCTGAGCTCTGTTTCCGCATGCTGTGAGGCATATGGATGCATACTCGCCCATGGGGACAACAGCCATTGTTCATATCACCCACATCACCGCACGAACTTTTCACTGCGGCGGCCTTTTTCACTGGGTGTCACTTGGGTGTCAGCGGGATGTGGGAGTGCGGCCGGGGACGTTTCCAGTGTCAATCAGCCCTACCGACACAACCTCACGACCCTTTGTTGACCGCTTCTCGTTCAGTGCTGCACTACATTCGTCAACAACCGCATGCGGTATGCGCCCTCGCAGCCAGTTCGGCGGGGCGGTGGCTGACCGTGCCCGGTCGCCCTCCCCTCCCCCCCCCCCCTCCCCCGCCTTGCGCAGATCACTACCGCCTTACGGGACTCCCCGGGCCGACGATGCTGCTGATCTGACCCTCCGGTGCCCGGATCCGCCCCGCTCCGTAGCCCGACGCTGCCGGACTGTCCCCTGGTGTCCGGCTCTGGCCTGCTCTGTGGTCGAACACTGCTGAGCTGGTCCTCTGTTGCCCGGCTCTGGCCTGCTCTGTGGCCTAACAGTACTGAGCTGGTTCTCTGGTGCCCGGCTCTGGCCTGCTTTGTGGCCTGACGCCTCGACGCCAGCTGCTCTGTCGTCGTCGACGGCGGGCGTCGCGGTCGGCGACACCTGGCGCGTGAGCGGAGAGGCAGATCGAGGTCCTCTGGACATCTGGCGGCAGGGTGGCGTCCTCCCCCCCCCCCCCCCCCTCTCCCCCGCCGGCGCAATCTCGGCGTCGGCTCACGGCCGGGCACCACTCACCACCACCTGCCGACTCGGGTGACGCGGGCTCGGGGATCGGCGATGACGTCACGTCCGGGCCCCCGGACGGCTCGCGCGGACGACGGCCGCTCTTGTTTGGCGTCGGCGCCGGGGGATCGCAGGTCGCTGAACCCAGCTCCGGCTGTCGCTACCCCCTCCCTCGAGTCCACCGGCACGTGTCACGGAAGTGAGTCTGTGCTGATTGCGGGCAGCAGTAGTTTACGCCAGGGCTCACCAACCCCTGCCGCAGTCCAGTGTTTGATCGAGTTATCCTTGTGCCGAGGAAAGAGCATATCATGTGAGGGACTTTGAAATATACCCCACAGAAAGTACCAGAGCATCAACTCCCATGTCAACCAAACATCGTGATCATGTCGGATCCAAGTTGGGAAGCGGTCGCACCAGCGCAGACAATTTGGATGTGTTTGTCCGATGGATCGTACGACGGTCGTGTGATACCAGCATGGTGGCCTTTGGCGCAGTGTCCAGAGACTAAGCAGTGAACATGGAATCCAATCACTTCATGGAGCCATGTGCGGTAGACGGAGAGCCGTGCGTTAACACTCTTTGGTAAAGAGACACGAAATCGTCGCGCATTCCTGTAGGACAGGCCCTCTGCGCTGCACACGTGCAGGAGGGTGCTCTTCTTCCTCTAGAGGATGACTGGGTTTGCGTCGGGCGGTGTCGGCTGTCGCTGATACAGGCTTAAGCTTTCCCCAGCTCTGAGTCGCTCTGAGCAGCTCTGAGTGGCTCCGAGCAGCTCTGAGTCGCGCTCTCGGGGTGAGCTTCCCCGGCCGCCTGACAGCTTGATCCGGTCGGTCGCGTGACACAACATAACAGCCGGACCCCGGTCTCAGCTGGTTCCCCTGACACCATCCTATCCGTGTCGTGCCTCAAGGTGCAGGTCCTTGGCGGGCGCCGGGGCTGGGGACCAGTGGTTCAATACTTTGTCGTTGACTGAGGTGGTGATTGCAAGCAAACCCCCGACGGAACCGTCACCACGAAGAACTGTTTCAGTTCTTGGCGGAGCGTATTGCTCCGGCTTGCGCACGCTCGTGCACACAAAGCCCGGGGCGTCTTCTCTTCGGGGTACTGTTAGCTATCGAGATCGGGGCGCAATTAATGGGAACCGCGTGCTGGTGGCCCGTGGACTCTGACAGGCTCATGCGTGTGTTTTGATGTTGCCCGCCCTGAGCCGCCGTTGGTGCCGGCGTCCCGTTTTTTTTCCACGTCCGCTCCAACAGCGCTGGCCGTTGCTTCGTTTGGGATGACGCCTGTCGGGTGGCTGACGCGTTCGTTCTGCTGCGATTTCAGGGACCCCAATAAGTCGTCTGCCAATCATGGCGAAGCAGGTGCTGGACATGTACGAGCTGTACAACTTGGTGGTAGCCCGTGGTGGGCTGGTGGAAGTCATCAACAAGAAGCTGTGGCAGGAGATCATTAAGGGCCTGAAGCTGCCCTCTTCCATCACCTCTGCAGCCTTCACCCTGCGCACACAGTAAGGGGATCAGTGTCGCCGTCCGGCTGTTGTCAAAGACAGCCGTTTCAGCTGACCTGTCGTAGCTTGAACTAGTGGTGTCACAGATGTTTGTTCGTGCAAGCGTTTACATCCAGGTGCTGGCAAACACCATCGTAAATGCCAGCGATACAGGCATGTTCACAGAAACATCCTTTGCTCTACAGTTGATGAGGCTTCAGTTTCTGGGTACCCAAAGGATGGCATGGTCTTGTGCATTTGTCTGGGTACCCAGTGGATGGCATGATCGTGTTAATTGTTCCGCATACCCGGTGAATGGCATGGTCGCGTGCATTTGCCTGGGTACCCATTGGATGGCATGGCCGTGCGTATTTTCCCTGGTACCTAGTGGATGGCGTGGTCGTGTGCATTTGCCTAGGTACCCAGTGGATGGCATGATCGTGTAAATTTTTTCCGGGTACCCAGTGGATGGCATGATCGTGTAAATTGTTTCCGGGTACCCAGTGGATGGCATGATCGTGTAAAATTGTTCCGGGTACCCAGTGGATGGCGTGGCCGTGTGCATTTGTCTGGGTACCCAGTGGATGGCATGACCGCATGCATTTTTTCTGGGTACCCAGTGGATGGCGTGGTTGTGTGCACTTGCCTGGGTACCCAGTGGATGACATGATCGTGCGTATTTGTCCGCGTACTCAGATGTTCGTGTGCAAGCTGCGCAGGCCAGCACATCCTGTGTTGACTCGAAACTAGTTGCTGACGTGATCATTACGGCACGATTACACGGACGTTGGGTTTCAATTGCCGTCTCTGGCTTACGCGTAGCCCCATAACTCGTTCTCATTAAGCCGTAATGATATTCAGGAACCTCGGATCTCAACGCGATCCGCCCTGTTATTGCATATTGCATGGAAGTGGTGCCGCCTTCCCATGACCGCCTGCCCTGCAGTAAAGCGTATCACTTGTCGAAAGCCATTGCGATCTCAGCGTCGGGATGGAATTACATAAATAATTGCAGGTTTATATCCGCCATAAGCGGTCCGCCGTTGCCCTTCGGACGCCTGATTCCTGGATTTAATATCAGTAAAACATGGAGCCTGATGAGGCCGCGGCACGCTAGCGGGCCGTAACTCTCGATATAAAGGCACGAAGTGCAGCACACCGCTCTCACCCTCTGCCTTTCTCACTCTCTCCCTCTCCCTTCACGGCCCCTCTTTCCGTGAAATCCTTTTACTCATGCGCTTAAACCGCCATTTTCACTTCGCCTGAATGCGTGCACGTCTTCATATTTGAACTCGCACGCCTCGTTTCTTCGTGACGGTAGAACGGAATGATTAAGAGTGAGGTGAAATACTCGTCGTTGATCGTTCAGCGGCAACGCGTTGAAGAGCCATGCTTAAGGATGGCGCTTGGTCAGATGACGCATTTTTAAGTGTTAACGGGGTATAATGAGGATAGGCTAAATGTCGAAGGACAGCACGTAGATTCGGGGACATGAAAACTAGGAATGACGAAAAGAAAACGACGGAATGGCAACATGTAACGAGCCGACACCCGCTTTTTAAGTTGCGGAATCGGAACATAAAAATACCATACACATCATCCAGGAAATGACCTGTCGCAATGACATCGAGGTTACCTAGTTGTCGATTGCACTTCATGTGAGCGATGAAATCATCACTTTTGCGCACAAAACGCAATGCTGGTCTAGTAACAAGTGTTACGAGCGATTAGTTGGGGACCTGTCGAGACCTCCGTGTGACGATTACTGACCCAGGTCCCAATTTCACCTTTCTCACCACTGTGGTGCTTCGATTCTCCGTGCTGGAAATCAAAACCATACCGTTAGCTTCATTTTGGCTAGCAACTACATGAACATGGCGAAGCATTCGTCCCTGTACCACCTGCACCATCCTACCTCGTCCTCGTCCCTGCACCATCAGCACCATCCTGCCTTGTCCCTGCACCACCTGCACCATCCTACCTCGTATTTGCACCACCTGCACCATCCTACCTCGTCCCTGCACCACCTGCACCATCCCGCCTACGTCCGGTTTGCAACGATGAATCCACATGTTCACGGCACCACTAAACGATGAATCCACATGTTCACGGCACCACTAAACGATGAATCCACATGTTCACGGCACCACTAAACGATGAATCCACATGTTCACGGCACCACTGAACGATGAATCCACATGTTCACGGCACCACTAAACGATGAATCCACATGTTCACGGCACCACTAAACGATGAATCCACATGTTCACGGCACCACTAAACGACTCTGCCGCCGCGTCACAAATGTTCTGAAGAATCAGGTTTTTGGCTGTGCTTGTCCTGTGATGTGGACCAAACCGGGCCTCCCTTCTCCGCCAGGCCGCTTCTGTCGTGCGTGTCGCCACAACTCGCCACTTGCTGCCATTAAGACGTGGTGTTTATCGTCCTGTTCGTCGTCTCTCTGTTCTGTGGTTCGAAATGATAATTTATGTCACAGTATGCACGAAAGGTTGGCAGTGGTCTCATCATTCTTATTATTGTTATTCATGAGCTTTACCTTTTCATATTAATTGTTACGTTTCTGTGGCACTTGTGGAGTATTTTCACGCCATTGTATTTGACACCAGAACGTTGCCACAGCCCAGAGTTTCGCTCCAAATGAGTTAGACTGTTCCGTTTCAACTAATTTTCTTCAACGGCATGGTGAAATACGAACTCTCCCCGCCTCCGACAATCATAAGTAAATACAATTTTTTTCTGTATGCCGCTCAAAAGATTTGAACTTGCCGTGATTTCTGAAAATGTGTGGACCATGGCATGTACCGAGCCTTATTGTTGCACAGCAATCAGGAACGGCCATAGCAACGTCAGTGAAGAGCGTGAGAAGGACTGCATCATTCCTGATATTGATGATCCGCAGTTACATTTTCGATGCCTTTAGTATCTCATTAAAATATTACCACAGCTGTGTTGGGTCCCCGTCCAGACCCTGCCTGCGGACACGCATGATAATTGTTTGGACGTCAACAAGTTGGTGCTGTCTTACGTTGCAACTTTATTTTGTTGACATTAAGATGAAGTTCTACCACAAGTCTGTGCAAAATGGCATTTCACGCGGCTGCTATTCACTTCACCAGAATGAACGGCACGACGGTATTGAGAAGATTGCTCCGTTCATCGTGATTGTTGTGCGGCAGGTGCACTGCGGAGCAATAGCAAGCCCTTCTCTTATAACTACGCCATTTATCAGCCCTTCTTCATTGTACCAACAGCAGTCTGAGACCAGGTGCTTTACGCTATACACTCTGTGGTGTAGCCAAGGGGGTGGGATGGGGTGGGGTGCAGTGTTGGGACGCGCCGTGACTGACCCGCACGACGCGCCGCTCAGCTTCGACCGCAAGTCTTCTCGGCAACACTTCTGAATGTATCTCCGGACTGGCGGTCAGGAAAACTATGTTTTAAATGTCATGGACACTACACATTATGGCATCGACATCAGGCGCCAGCAGCCGTTATTTTGTAAGAAGACTAGCGGACAGCTGAGAGAATACGCACAGTGCGCTGCTAAAGCGATTGTTAAACGCAGCAGGGCAAGCCCACATCGAAAGTTTATTGATACCCTAGGTACTGTACGTTTTGGTGTTTGTGGGTTCTGTTAGTCTGCTGACATTGCGTAGGTTCTTTTGACTGGACTGGGTCTCGCTCGCAACAGAATATCCCTCCCCATCGCACATCATGTTAGCCCTCTCGTCGCAAGCTCTGGCCCCGTCGCTGTATACAGTTCAGTGCGTTTCACGTGCCGTTTCACAGCTTATCGGACTTTCAACCCCAGAGAGTCTCGGAAGAAGTTTCTGGACATGTTTATTTTGTTTGCCAGGTACATGAAGTACCTGTACCCGCAAGAGTGTCAGAAGGAGAACCTGAGCAGTCCGTCGGACCTGCAGGCAGCCATAGACGGCAACCGACGCGAGGGGCGCAGGGGCGGATACAGTAACGCCTCTTACGCCGACTTCGTGCAGAGGTCGCCGCTCATGGCCAGGTACAAACAGATTCGGACTTCTGTAGTGTGCTGTGTTCAGTTGTGTGAGTCATTCAGGCGCGTCAATTACGGTCAATTGCTGAGACTGTGAGTGTCGGGTACCATGGCATGAATCGCTGCGAGGATGACGAGAGATCGCGGCTGGATCAGGGGAAGTACGTGGCGCCACGTTCACGTTCCTGGCGGATGTCACAAACCGCTGGCAAAATTTTCTGGGCATGCACGGATGCATCTGTCACGATCCAGACATGAACAAAAACCAAATGTATTGTTCGTTTCTGAGTGTAATCTCTTTTTATGAGTGCTTCTTGTTTCTGATTGTAGTCTAAGAAATAAAGCCTTGGTATCCAGAGTGCCGCGTGTTCCGGCCATGTTTCTCGCTCTGAGCTTCTGGATGCGGGTCGGCCTGACTTGGGTGCTTTTCCAGCTCGATGGCGCAGTCGTTCGGCTTATCCAACGGCATGCCGACCACGCTGCATCAGCAGGGCCTGTCTCCTCTGTCGCTGGTCACCAGTCGGCCCGGCACCAACGGCGCCGGAGGCCACCCGCTGCCGCCCAGTGAGTACAGTACCACCACACCGGCCAGGCCGCTGGTTCCTCTGCTGCTGTCCAGCAGGTGTAGCACCACTGCACCAGCCGGGCCCGTTGCGGGCGATACTGCACGTGTCATGCCGGACATGGTCTGGAGTCTAATTTTGGAAAGATAGGTTGGAGGGTGGAGCCGGCGCTCCAGGGAAAGGTGGCCAAACTTACCCACAAAGCACGCCAAAAACGGGTTTATCCTCGTATTTGCTCCCATTTCCTCTCAAATGTGGGGGTTTGGAACCCCCCAATCTGCATGAGAGACCACACTCCTGGTGGGATTTGAGCGGAGTTGTGGTGGCCGCCGTACTTGAAATGAAGTGACGTTTTTCAGCTTTGACAAGCTATTTATGTTTGAAGTTCAATCGAAGTGCGGTGCTTATGATACAATTTGGGTGACCTTCCTGGTGTCACGTACAGAACCAACGGATCCTGCGCATTCACTTCAGCCTGCTTTTAAGCTTTCGAAGGTGTCCATCTCCCTTTCAAGAATAAATATGAACCTTGCGTCATGTTTTCAATCCTCGTGGACGCGAAACACATCCGGAGGAAAGAAATAATGGGGGCGTCCTGCGTAAGAGCCCGCGGGCCTTCGGACGCCCGAGTCCCGGGGTCCGAGAGCATTTACCTCGCTAAAGAGGTGCATGATCGATGACTGAAGCCGATCTCGCTGATTTTCAAGCCCTGCTTTGAAACTTGTCTCCATTTAAAACACATTAACGTCATCGTTCGGTAGTTAGGTCCGATTTACATAACCACACCTGGCGAATGTACCTGGCCACGGCGTGACCGCCCGACGAGGGGGAATTCGCATTCACCTAATGGTAAAAACGTGTTTTCTGCTCCCGTTTATCCCAGGGTGACCGTAGCCTTGAAAACGCTGGTGATTCTGGCGGAAAATTGCTAACCAAATCATAACCATCAAGTATTCAAGGCACCTTCATATAGATAGGGCTCTTTGAAGGTCAAACCAGGCTAATGACCGGAAGTGATCTCACATTACGTTTGGTCACCTTCTGCGACGCTTACATCGCTTTTAAATCGCTTTTTGGACACTTCTCTGGACGAAATCTGACTTACCAAATGGTTTGGCAAAAAGCAGTTTGGGGCTAAAGTCCGTATTTGGAAGGGAAGTCCCATTATTTCTCTTGACGCGGAGGAAAGGGCCACGGCCCTCTCAAAGACATATCAAGTTCCACCCGTGCTGTTTCTGCCAAGACGAACCAGAAGCCTGGTTTACTGCAGACCAGCATGCCGAAGAAAAATGCCTAGCGTGGAGGAAGGGGCGAGGTACAGCAGCACCGAATAGTTTGGTTTCATTCCCCACCATAGCCTATAGGCCTGACGCCAAACTTAACCACATGCCGTGACCCGGATCCTCAAGCCACTCAGCTCCCTGCAGCTCCAGCGTCCATGCTGGCAAGTGTAAAGAAAAATGCGGTTTGTTCTCATCAGAGCTGCGCGGTGCACGGGTCGGGACTCTCCCGACAGAGCTGATGAGAAGTTGGGCGTCGGCGGCCGCTCGCTCCGCCCCGACAGCGCGCCACTCAGGCCAGACTGCCGGCTCGATGCAGCCCTGCAGGACAGGTGGCAGCCCTCACAGGGAGCTGCCGGTCCAGAGAGCCCTCTGTATCTGCTGCCGCTTCAGAGACAATGCCTGCTGCCGGCTGTGACCTAGACTTCAGGGCTCGTGTTGGCCCCCGGAGATGATAGCCGAGCTCGTGTGCGCGTGCAGCGGTCCTGGTGATTGTTTGGTGGCGTAATTTATGCACTGTGAGGATCGCAGGTAGTGCGGCTCCCGGCGAGGTAAACACTGAGACGACGAATTTACATAACAACTGGCCTCCAATTAACTAGGGCCTCGGGCTGTGCATCACCGAAAACATGAGGAGAAGCGCTCATAACGTCAAGGGAATATAGAGATCACTTCCCAATTTTCAGTTATTTTGCACCGGAAACTGACCTTTACTTTACCTAGGGCAACTCACTTGGTGAGCTAAGAGGAGCCACCTTGCGTTGGGTCACCACTGGTCATGATGATGACTCACCTATCGTACGCTCGCACGCAAGGCAGCGCCCGATCATTGGCAGCACCCAGCCTCACACCCGAACGGACTCTGGGTGGAGCGAGCCTTCTCGCCGAGCATTTGCGTTCGGTCGATAGTGGTGCGCCGTTACGCGGTATCGCTGGCATCTCAGTACCCCGTTTCACAGTCTGAACACTGAACAGTCGTCCTCAAGCTTATCTGGCCGACCCTGCTGGCACAGAGTGCGCGCGCTGGCGTCCTTGATCCGGCCGCTTCCCCGAGCAGAGCTGTCGTTACGCCGTGCCCGATTACCCTTATCTGGCGGATTGATCCTCGGTTTCTGATATCCGACTCGTGCATCTTGCCGATCGGCCTTGGTTTGGCCCAGCGCTCTCTCGGAAACGGCCCGCCGGCCTCTCCGTAATGGCCATTAGCAGCCATTAATGCCGCCGACGGTGCAGCCATTAATGCCGCCGCCGGGTGGCTCGGGCAGGCCGTGAAGACTACCTGCTATGATTGACTGGTCCACCGGTGTTGGTGGGCCACCGGTACCGTTCGCGGTGGTCTGCCAGTCATAATCACTGGTGAAGATCAGCGGGCTCACTGGCGATAATCATGGAGCTCACTGGTGATGATCAACAGGCTCACTGGTGTTCATCAGTGGGTTCACTTGTGATCGCTGGCGGTCTTACTGGTTAGGATCAGTGGGCTCACTGATAATGATTGGCGGATTAACTGGCGGTGAACGGCGCGTTCACTGGTGATCACCAACGCACCCGCTTGTCAGAGAGTTCACTGGCGATGTTTGAGAGATTCACTGGTGAGGATTGCGAGGCTGACTGGTGCTGATCACTCAGCAGTCCCACTTTTGATGATAAATGTATTCACTAGCAGTGATCGGGCTGTTCACTGGTGATCAACAGTGGATTCACTATGATGGCCAGCAGTTTCACTTGTGGTGATCAGGGAGTTCAGCGGTGTGCCCGCCCTCCCTGACGGGGAGACAGGCAAGTGACACCATATGGCCTCGGCAGCTGAGTGCGTCGTGAAGCCCCAATGCCCTGAATTCACTGGTGATGATCGTGAGGCGCGCTGGTGATGATAGGCGTGTTCACTGGCGCTGACCACCGGGCTGTGATGACGGATGGCGGGCGAGTCGGTCAGCCAGGCGGTCAGTGGTGGGCTTGATCGGCCAACTGACACTGGCGTGAAAAATGCGACCTCGGTTGGCGGCCTGGATGGGCCATCGCCGGACCGGCGGGCCACTGGTGGTAAATGGTGGCCACCCTCAGCGGTCACTGGATGGCCACCAAGCCCACTGGTCACCTTTGTACCAGTGATCCACGGTCCCGTCCACTGGTCGCCGCTTGTACCAGTGATCCACGGTCCTCGTCCACCGGTCGCCGTTTGTACCAGTGATCCACGGTCCTCGTCCACCGGTCGCCGTTTGTACCAGTGATCCGCAGTCCTCGTCCACCGGTCGCCGTTTGTACCAGTGATCCACGGTCCTCGTCCACTGGTCGCCGCTTGTACTAGTGATTCCATTCGGGGACCAAAAATTTAGTAAACCGAAAAAACCGTGTTGATCGGTTTGGTTTTCAGTCGGTCATTGGCAAAATTTTTAGTCATGTCTTAAACAAGCAAATTTTGATTATTTCAGATTGCGAAATGTTGCATGTTAAATCTAAATAAAAAGTGGGGAATAAATAATAATAGTAACATCTCAACTGCATCCAGGCGGTTTTATTACATAAGTACATGTTTTAAACACATGGCTGATGGCTCACAATATCCATTAAAATAAGATAGCATGATGTGCCACATTCTCATAAATAGTAGACAGAGCTCAGCACATGTCATGTGAATGCATTACAATCTCAGCCTTGAAGGCAGCACCACTGTATGGGGGCACCACCACCGATGGATACGGCATTGCATGAGAGATGAATGGGGCCAAAGACACTACAAAGGTGAATCAGACCTCACGTTCCGAGCAAATGGTTATTACTCAGCATTACAGCCACAAAATAAAGTCTGGGAGCAGGCAGGGTCACTCAGTACGTACGTTCAACGCCCTGAATTGAAATAAGCAACACAAGCCTTCCAGATTCCTCAGGCTATGGAAAGTTGCAGAATGACGACTGATGAAAAAACACTAGCCTGTGCATAGCACGCGGCGAACTTCCGTCGTATAAAAGGTGAATTTACGTTTTAAGAGCAATCTGTCTTCTACTCCCAACTGCAAACATTGCACAGGGCATTTCAGCGCTCCACTTTCGAGACAGGTACCACGCGCACGTAAACCAGTGCAGCAACACATAGTTTTCTGCTGAGGCCCAAACAAGAAGGCTGAAAAGATTAACCAAATCGGAGAAAACATTATCTTCTTCCAATAAATATTCTAGCCACATCAGTCCCAGTACGACGACGCAGCGCCCTACTTGAACCAAAGCGCTTCGCACGCGCCTGTAGGTCAGCACCTATTGTTAAGCTTGCGTGCAGCGCACCTTGCGGTGAATACTTATGTATTGCTTCTTTTTCACCACTTTAGCATCCGTTATGAACTGTCGTGCTAAACAGCGTTTTTTTTATTTAACTCGTGCAAGCATTATTTTCAACTCTGCTCCTCTATTATATCAATAATTTGCATTTCCACTGACGAAGTGTAAGACGGAAATCAACCACTCAAAAATGGCTGCTAGAATTATGTGACTGATGCAGTTTGGCGTGTTCATCGTAAAGACAGTTTATGGAGCAAACTTTGCAAATGAGGAGCCTGCCTTGGAAGGATACCTACTTGGTTGGTCCTGTTGTTAAAGGATTTAGGGAACACACCAAGCATGGCTGATAAATATGTACGAAGTTAGGAAAAATCAGTAAGTCGGGAAACTGGTGATAAATCAAAGCCTTGAGCACTGTGTTTTGTTCTTCCCATGTTTGCTGTTTTTCTTTTTTGTGCTGCGCACAGCAGTTGGTCATGAATTGGCGACCTCTGGTACTGGTAATTGGTAACCTCTGTTTGTGAAGATGCGTGGGCTGTACGCCTAATGAGTTCTGAATGTTCAATTCACTTTGTTGACTCTGCTGAGTCCCAGCGAGCCCCCAGTGAACACTCAAGTACTGAAAAACTTACTCTACCGTAGGTTTTACTGCTGTTTTTTGTGCAAAGCACACTGAACACACTACTTTTACCCTCGTCCTGATTCACGGTTTTGTATCATGTGGATTGATAGGTGGGTCGATGCGACCCCTCCCTCTCACGCGTTTCCAGAATAAAAGGAAGGTGGATGTTAGCACAAAAAAAAAACAAAAAAGCAATGTATTAGTCTCGGTGAGATTTCGCGATTTGTACTAGTTTTTATGTTGTTAGGTTAAGTATTGACACTTTTACGTTAGGTCGAAGGTAAAATTTTCCTGACAGCTGCACTTTTTTAGCCCGACATCATGCATACGAAACCCCGCGTCATGGCCACACAAAAATAAAGAGGCGTGTTACCTGTTTAATTTTGAGCACGATGGTGTATGTGGGACTTGGGTATATGTTTATGATATACGGCTCTGTTAATAAAAAAAAATGTCGGCCCGCCGCGCGCGTTCCGTGGCATCGTCTGTTGCCGCTCGCCGTTGGCGCCTGACTTAGATCGCCGTGCAGTGTTCCCAAAAAATCGTCGCTGCTCCGAAACTGGTCAAGCTATGAACGCGTTTTTGGTGTCAACACACGCGCAATGAATGCTTTAAAGTCGAATTAAAATTTGGGCGCAATTGCTCAACGTGTCGGTGAGGTGTCTTCAAAAACTTAGAGGATCCGCATCGACCCTCTTCCTATCAGGGCGTGGGTTAACTTGACAGAGACCTGGCATGCTTCTTGAGTGTATGCAAAACTGCACAGGAAATCCTTTTAGAATGGATTTTGGGCACGTAATCTATGGTTTCCCCTCCCTTGGTTATGAGGGTGAGAACAGGATCTGAAGTAATTTTGTTCCACACAAAGTGGATGGTATTTTGTGGGCTCCTGACCAGTGCATATGGACACTTCAGAAACAGAACTTCAGGTGAACAGAAAAGATCACATGTTAACGTGCCAATACTATTTCAGAAATCAGTCCGCTTTTGGACTCAACCAAGTGGTTAATTTTTGGTTCTCATCTGGCACCACTAGTTGTACGGCACGTGTGAGATCTTGGTCTGCCTCCATCGACCATGTTTTTTTTCTGCGCAGGCTCTCCGTTCCTGGCCGGCATGTGTCCGCCTGGGATGCCGACTCCTAACGACACGCTGATGACGCTGTGGAACTTGTACAGCAACAGACAGCCGCCGCCGTCGCCGCCGCTCAGGAGGCCCGAGGGCATGGGCCTGGCGCCGCAGAGCGAGGCCCTCAACCTCGGCGTTCACAGAGAAATGGCCAGGTGGGCGGGCGCACGCTCATTTGCATTGCTTTCTAACCGCATGTGAACATTGTGTTCTGGTACCGTGCTATCTTTGTAGTTATATTATCAATACATGTGACCATTATCTCGATTAGTATTCCGTTATCCAACACGACGCTGAATTCTCAAGATGGCGGTGGGTTCCGAAGCAGGGCCTCGGAGCTTCTGGGTTCATCGAGGTGGTCAGATATAGACGAGATTCAGGTCATGGACTCAGAAACGGTTAGGGTACCGAGACCGAGGCAGGGACTATGGCTCCTAGGATGACTCGATGATGCCCAGATGGCGAAAGGCGCTGAAGCGGCTAAGTCTCCTTGTTTGTTGCTTTCTTTAGCGGCGGGAACGAACCAGGCGTGCTTAGACATGGCGTGTGCTTGATGACATGATGCAAGTGGCAATGTAAACGTTCACGATTTTTGCATACTTTGTAACCACCACCGTTAATCGTGTTTGTCACCGGGTAGACGTGTCAGTGTACCAGAGGGAGAATGGACCTAAAACTCGGTCTCCCCTACCCCGATGATCTTTGGAAAGTCCCTCGCATAGATGGCCATGCCACAATTAAAGAGAACCACGTGATGCACTAACGCACCCTAAGAAATTTGTATGCTTCGTTTCAGGCAAGAAAGAGAACGAGATGAGGAGCGCGAGAGGGAGTGCGAGCTGGTGCAGGAACGCGTAAGAGCGCTGAGCAAGGAGCGAGAGCGGCACTCGAATATCAAGCGGGACTGTCCAGAGGAGATGTCTCCGCCGACACACAAAAAGGCCCGTTCAGACGAAGGCAATGGGAGACCGGATGCCTTCCCACACACCAAGATGAGCATCTCGACAAAAGGTGAGCGGGCGGCGCAGCTCGTTCGCCGCCGAGGCTTTGCTCTTGCCATGGCTTGATAATGGCTGTTCGTAAGGGTACATGTTGCTGAAGGGGGTTGCCTTCAGCGAAAGACATCAACAGCGCTGTTTTAAGCATTAGTGTTCGGGTAGCGCACACGGGTGGCACCACCGAGGAGGACGGAGGACGTGTCCTCCAATGAGCTTCAAGTTTAGAATGACGCTAGCGGGTTGCATAGGAACGGGCCTCAAATACCCATTATCCGCACCAGCCCTTTTCCATCACCGATCGTCCGTTTGTGGCGTCACAAGTCGTCGTCGTTGTGTTGTCATCAGTGGTACATGGTTGGCAATCGATGCACTCCGGATGTAAACATAAGCAGCAGCCCGAGCTGAGCAGCCGGCGCTGGTGGAGGGGACTGATATCCTCGTCAGGAGTGGCCAGTGAGCCGGCAGATCGCCCGAGGGCGAATGCACCCAGCTGGTAACACCACGCGGCTCTGTCTCCACAGGCGACAGCAGTATAGTGGTGAGCATGGAGATGAACGGCGTAGGCTACCAGGGCGTGCTGTTCGCTCAGCCACGCACCACCCGTGTTTAGCGGACATCGCTTGCGGTGTCATCTAGAGCTTATGGATACAAGTATTAGTGTGCGTGCCGCCGGCAGGACGAGCCTGCCCTCAAGATGGCGACGTGCCGCACGTGCTGCAGACAGCAGATCTCTGTGAATAATTGATGTTTTCTATTGCTGAGCATGAATTCAATTTCACGAATAGGTGTTGATTTTTAGGTTTTTTCTTGGTTTTAATGTGTTTTCTCGTTGAAGTGGTTGCTTTCACGGTTCCTCTCAGTGGAACCCATGGCTGCGTGGCACTGTTTTGATGCATTTGTTTTGGTTTACAGTCATGGATTGGTTCCAGCCGGTACTTTTGTTTGGAAAGGTCATTCTTAGCATGAAACGCAGCCCGTGCGGCCGAGTTTTCAAGGTGTCGTTTGCTCAGGGAGGGAACATTACCAGTCCAGAGAAAGTAGACACACGTATCCTATGCGCTTCGGCGTGGTCGTAGTCGATATCCAGGCCCGAGTCGTATCACGTGTTCAGCAAAAGCTGATGTATAGCGACGGTGCTGAAGGCGTTGACAGCTCTCATAGTTTAGAGAAGAGTGTGTTCCTTTTACTACGTGCCTCATATGTCGAGTAGTTCGTTCCTATGGTGGTTGCGTGCCACTTGTACGGCAGTGCTGTTCACCTCGTTGCACCGCGTGCGGGTGGCTGAGTAATGAAAACTTGCTTGTTCCGTGTAAACTCTGGTGCACACATGTGAGTGGTGCCGCGAAAAACTCACTGTACGTGTTTTGTCCTCATTCCATCTTTCATCTCTCGTCATCAAGCATGAACTCGCGTGTGCCGTAACAGATTCAATTGTCCCATACCGTTTTTGCTCAAACTCTGGCGTATCTTCAGTCCCGGACCATTGGAAAGTCGCTGAAGATTCCTCCTTAACTCGGTCGCCGACGCAGATCCCTCCTAACTCCGACACATATCACCTGGTGTCATACGCGAAAGCATGTGTTGCGCTAGAAAAAAGCTATGACTGTTTCAATAAGACACGTGTTGTGAATTATGCGTTCGTGGTGTTGTTGATGTGATTCGCTGTTCCTCCGCATGACATCGCTGGTACAATAAAGCGTTAAAATCGTGGCCGTTTTTTCTGTATCATCGCATACGCCTTACCTAGAAAATGCAGATCGCCCTAAAGTGTCTTCATTTGGTTTTTGTCAAAGAACACTTTTGTCCATGCTCAGTTATCAATATAATCCAGTTCTGGATTATGTTGATTAGTGGGTGCATTTGATGTGAAGCATAGCTCCTGCTTTATGTCAAGTGTGCGCTCTTATCATGAGCTACATTAAACGAAATTGTTTTTGCACGTTGAGCACCCTTCTCATCAATCACTGGCGGCATTTGGACAATTGTACCGGCGGGTGTCGGACTGAACACAGGTTATGTGCACAGAGATACGGGCTAAGGCGTCATCCGTTAGCTAACTGGAAATCCTCGACTGACCCGAGGCGGGAAAAATCACGACGATACCGAAAACACTTGCCGTTGGGACGTGAGGTCAGCGCGCGTGAGGACGCGAGGTCAGCGCGAGTGAGGACGCGAGGTCAGCGCGCGTGAGGACGTGAGGTTGAGTGCGTGAGGACGGACGTGAGGTGAAACGTGAGATCATTGTGCGTCATCACTATTACCAATCATTTCGCATATAGCCAGCTGTAAAAAAATTCCCGAATCTGCGCTCTGACTCCTCCTTAGGCCCTGGTCTGAGTATCTGCGAATGGAATGTAGCACTGCCCGCCATCCCTACCGATCCCAGCTTAACATCCTGAATAGAAGTGAGGCATCCCCAGCCCGGCAGTCCTCGTCTCGTCCTGGCTTGGCTCGGCACCCTGTCTCGCCTCGGCTCAGCTCGGCACCCCGTCTCGCCTCGGCTCAGCTCGGCGGCCTCGTCTAGCCACCGCCGAGCAGGCCCAGGCCGGCCTGGGCCGGGCCGCCGCCCAGCCGCTGTGCAGGCCCGGCCCGGGCCGGGTCGGGCCGGACCGTCACCGAGCCGCCGAGCAGGCCCGAGCCGGGCCGGACCACCGCCGGGTCCGGCCCGGTCAGCTGGCTTGATATCACAGCGATCGTGCGAGCCGGCAGCTGACGCGGCCGCTGATTGGTCGGCGCGCCTGCGATCCGGGCCAGGCGCGGCTTGATTGGCCGGCGATCTGACGGGAGTGGTCCCGACGCTGGCGCGGGTGGCGTGATGTCCCATGCAGCCTTGAGGCCGGGCCTGCAGCCGGCCACAGTCGGCTCCCTGGCGGACGGCGTCTGTACCACGTGCGCAACGCCAGCTGGGAGGTGCTCCGAAGGAGTCGCACTGGCTTCACGCCCGCAGGCGGCGCCTTCGCCGCGGCTGATGCAAGAAACGTAACAGGCTAGTGGCCGGTGCTGACGGAAAGGAAAACTGATCTCCTGACCTTGGGTTGGCCGGATCTTCAGAACGGCGTGGTCCGGACTCAACTCCGTTCCACTTGTGCCACTTGTTGCCACACCGATTCACGTGCCTAAGTCCCCGGTCGGGAAGGTACCCCAGTGATGAGCCAAAATGCTGGAAAAGGCAGAAATCAGCTGTCGTTCTGCGATACGGCCATCACGTTAGACAATTCAAATGACAACTTGAGCGGTTTTGGTAGTCTCTGCAGGTGGTTTTGCACTTTCCAATGAACTTCCTTATCAATCAGAATTGTCCTGCGTTGATCAGATATACACCGGTTTCTTTAGGAGTGATTTGTCCTCTGGCATGACAGCACCCACGGGCGGCGGTATGTATTTTTGGGTTGCAAGGGACAGGGACGGGATTAGTCATGGGTGAGCTAGGCCTGTAAACCGAGCTAGAACCTTAGCCGACGCTGTTTCTGTGATTCTCCAGCGCGCCACTTCGCGAGTGTTATTTACTGACTTTTCGGGGCCTGCCAACCTATGAAAGGTTGGCCCCATCGCTGGAGGTCATAAGCTGTCAAATTAATTGAACAGGTAGGCTGCGCCTCATGCAAAATACCCCTAGCCCCAAAAGAGACGTGTTCCATCTGGATATGGGGTGCGTACTTTATGTGGTGAGGGCATAACACCAGCAAGACGGGTTCTCTTAGTGCATAGGACACAGGCCCGTTGGCAGGGAATCAATAGAAACGGCAGCAAGGCGGTCGGCAAGAGTGGGGCTCCACAGCTTCATGCTGTCCGCATGGGATCCATCGTGCAGATCGTAATGGAATATAAGCTGCCGTACTATAAAACTTGTTCACGACTGGTCAGAAATTTCAGATGAAGGCAAGGGAACCGTCGCTGGTATTCTATACTAGAGAGATATGACCTGGTTTAGTGACGTTCTTATGCCGCCAAAACACTTCTCGCTAAATGTTTACGCCGTCCGCCGTGCTGAGCACAATCGCTCACTTTTACTGACGTCATACGCAGCAGTTCTACCCAACCCATACGCAATGATAAATACAACTACCTTCGCGATAATGGTAATCGGAAGAGCCACACAATGAAAATGAAAATATTAGGCCACACTTTACCACATTAAGGTCCTTTCTGAACAGAGCGGTTTAACTAACATTAAATTACAGTTCACATCTTAGCTTCTTCTTTGGAGGGTCACGGCAGGGATAACACTGGGCCAAATCTAAGTTGGGGGAAAGGTTGGGCCTACCTAAAGGTTGGGAAAGGAAAGAGGGGCCTACAAAAAAATATCGTTTTTAGTTAGATGTTAAAAAGGTGTGGTGTGCCTCTTTGGTTGATCTATATGGTGTGCCATTTTCCGGGAATTCTTTCTGTTTTCTTCTTACGCTGTGAAAATTTTGCAAAATTTTGGCTCAGCTCGGTCCCAACAGCAGGTATACACGACCCAGTGCTGGTCCCATTATAGCAGCGTATTATGACAGCCGAAAGTAGTGGGAAATGGCCATGCAGCATTTGAGGTAATCCCAGACGACCGCTGTATGACCGCATCTCAGACGACCGCTGTAGTCGGCGCACTCGAAAGCCCCAATAGACGACTAAGTCAAATCTGAAAATGGTTTGGAACTTGAAGAAAGGAGTTCGGCCCGTTTTTAGCAGGCCCAATACTTTTAGGGCAATCATGCTGTGGCAAAGTCGGCCAATCCACGCATTGCAAGGGTGACAGTTACTACATTGTAAGTTACTATAACCATAGCTTTCGTCTCATACTAGAAAACATCATTTGAAGGCCTTTGTTAGCCCCATCCAAGTCTGAACAGGAAATCATGTTATGGAAATAATGGCGCTTACTAAAAAGCTACTCTGCTATAGACTGCAGTTAAGTTCTTTATTTCATTTTGTTATTACACGAGTCGAATCCACCTTAAAAGGGTGGGGGCGGCATTTTCACATTTCCATGGGGTTTTGGACTGAAATAACCATGTTGAAGATCATTCGGTGCAGTTCACAGACCCTCTTATGACTCAAATCTCTTTAGTTTCTGGGCTACACAACCGCGAAGATAGCGAGACTATGTTGGGGAGGGTATTTCAAGGTCACCTTTGTATTCGTGATGTCATGATAACGTCATTTGAAACTCCACCATTCCATAGGTCACGCGGCGAACAAGGTCAAGAAAAGCAAAATGGTCGAGTCTAGCACTGCAGCGTACTGCACATGCTCACCACGCGCACTCGCGTTGGACGCCGATGTGGCACGCGCTGTACCAATCTGAGCGGACCACAAACCAGGCCATCCGCGCGCCGGCCCCCAGAGCAGGTCACGTGACCGCAGCAGCCTCTCTCTCCTCCTTGTCGCTGTCGTCTCTGGTCGCACCGCACGATGATGACAGCGCGTGCTCGCTATCCTCTGGCGGCGCTCTCGCGACCGATCGGGTGCGGCTATGCAATCAGCCCGGCCAGCTCGGATGGGCGTCAGCGGCCGCTTCACCGGCTGGTGGTCATCAGCTGACAGAGCTGGCGGACGCGCCGGTCGGCGCCTGGCTGTAACGGGGATTTCACCATCGGGCGCCCAGAGAGATTAACAGAGCGACAAAAAGTTAAATGATCTGGACTTCGCTTCCCTAACGATAATACTGTCACCGGCCACTTGTGCTTTGTTTCAATGACGCTCGTATGTATAGCAAGCGATAGGCATGGATTTGGTGATACACATGTACATAATTATTATCATGTCCATTTTTGAAATCTAAGCACCATTATAGTCTGCAAGCTGTTTCGAAAAAAATCCCATTGCCAAAAATCTGGTGGATTTAGCGCTTTTGGCGCCGTAGAAGGTAAGACATCTACCCGAGCTGCAAATTCTTCACACGGCGCGATGGCGCTGTAAAGTTTATTTAAAAGGTCCTGAAAGCTTTGGCAAACAACTGTGGCGCTGTATATGACAATGTAGTTCAACGTGCTCTGACAAAGGGCAGATCATTCTTCTCGTGATGGGATTCCTTCTAATACAATTATTTCCAGATGGTCTAACGACCATCTGACATCGTTTCTCACATGTTTGACAGGTAGGCAAACCAGCAATGAGAGTAGATCAACCTTTCCATGATCGGAGC